CAAGCTGAAATGGCCTGTCATTGGCCGTTTTGATTGGACAATCATGGGATCTACTATGTCAGGAATGACAAATTTAAAAGGAATAGTACAATATTTATTGTCCAGAAAACATTTCAAGATCAAATCTATCCTGAAGTACCAACGATAGGATTATAGTTATGTGCCATTAAGGAAGATCATTTAATATGACTACCACTTAAATTTATCAGTCACAAAGTGCAAAGATTAAGATAGTGAAGATTTTTACAACTTCTGTACCCTTAAATTGATTAAATACATAATCAAGTTGTAGTGATAATTACTGCTGATGAGAATGGAAAGTTGGAAACGAAGAAGAATGGGGAGTTGAAAAATAAGGACTTGGTAATAGAAATAGCTCAACATCAAGAAAATGAAGATTCTCACCACTGAGTCAATTGGCAGCATCATGATAGACTGTGAAAAGATCGAGATTGTTAACAGCTTCAGCTTGCTTGACTCCACAGTCAACACTCTTGGTGCTATCAGCCAGGAAATCAAAAGACAAATTGCATTGGGAAAGTCTGCTGTCTGGGACCTCTGTAGATTACTGAAGAGACCAAGAGACTAAGGATCTAGAGACTAAGGTGCACCAGATCCAAGCCATGGTCTTTGCAATTACTTGCTATGCATTCAAGAGCAGGACAATGACTAAGGATGGCAGGAAAAGAATCTATGCCTTTGAGTTGTGGTGCTGGAAAAGAGTATTGAATATACCATGGACTGCTAAGAGAACAAACACGTTCGTCTTGGAGAGGGTGAAACCAGACTACTCCTTGGAGGTAAGGATTCTGACGCTCTGTCTGACATACTTTGGGCATGTTGCAAGGAGGGACCAGCCCGTGCAGAAGAACATCATGCTTGGAAGGGTGGAGGGACAGTGCAGGAGAGGAAGACCCTGGATGAGATGAACTGATTCAGTGACTGGGGTAATGGGGGTAGGTGTGTCAGAGACAATGAAGTTGGCTCAAGATAAACCAGGGTTCAGAACTGTTCTAAATAGTGTTGCTATGAGTCACAAATGACTTGATACATGACAACAACAATAGCAATGACTCCAGATATTGCATGAGAGATTTTCTTCAAGGCCAATGCTTTATGTACCCCTTTTACCAATAACATAAACAGTAACTACATACATGGACCAGGTGGAATACACAATATCAGGACTGGAAGAAGGCTTATTTACAACTGCTCTGAGGGAGAAGGATGGGCAATCTCCTCCTGTGATAGTTACAACTTCTGAAAACTGCTAGAGGGTCGGTTATGAGTTGATTCTGACTGGATGGCAACAGCATTGTACAAATTACACAATTTTACTAACTGAACTCAATAAGTAAAACACCTACTGATGATTGATGAAGATCAAAAACTACAATCTCCATATGCTTTACATCTTAACATCAAGATAAACAGGAAGGGGAATGAAGTTGTCAAGGACTTCCTTTCACTTGCAAACATAAGCAAAGCTCATGAAAGTAGCAGTGGGGGAAAAAATCAAAACATAATGCATGGGGCATATTTGCTACAAAAAGACCTTCTCAGTATTAAAGTGAAACTATGTCATTTTGAGTACTAAAGTGACCCTGACCCAAGCTGTGGTGTTTTCAATTGTTTTATATGCTTGTGAAAATTGGACCATGAAGGAAGAAGAAGCAACGCATTTGAATTATTGCATTGGCAAAAAGTTTAAAAATCTAACATGGACCACCAGAATAGTGAGCACGTCTGTCTTGAGAGAACTACAGCCAGAGTGCTCCTGAAAAGGAAAGATGGTGAGATTTTGTCTCACAAACTTTGACCGTATTATCAGGAGGGCCAGTCCCTATAAAAGGACATGATGCTTGGTGATGAAATCAGGGGAAAAGAGGAAGCACCCCCAATGAGATGAAGGAGCAGAGTGTATACAACTACAGGTCCAAACAGGTCACCCATAGTTGGGACGGCACAGGGCTGGTCAGTATTTTGCTCTGTTGTGTACAAAGTCACACACTCATAACCTACTGGGGTGGGACCTAATTAGCTTCCCAAAGGAATATCTCCTCAAGGTTCATCATCACTGAGACTGAAAAACTGACCTAGAGACAGACTAAAAGACTTTCAATTCAGTTTATTAGCAGAAGAAAATGTATAGACTGGGAGAAGCAATACCGCAAGGGTCCAACAGTTGTGGACTCAGAAAGAAATCCCACTGATGGGGAAAGTAACTACTTCAAACTCTTACACACAAATCTCCCTTATACGGTTAAGTTAAAAATTATGCAAGCTGACATTAAATCCTAATATCTCACAAGGAAAAACTATTGCACACTTGATCGGGAGATAGTTTTTCAACCATGGTTAAAAACAAAGGAAAAGGGTCAATTTGCCTCAGTTATTCATTAAGACAAGAAACTAGAAAAACAAGCTTAACAAAAGGGCAGACGTTTTAGGGCATTTTAATAGGCTACCATACAGCACCTCCAACAATAATAAGGTCAAGGGAATAAGAAAATTAAACTTGAAGAACCTTGAAGATATTAGTAAACTGAGGGAAGGGAGGTAGTATGATGCAGAGGGTGAAGATACAAGAGAAAAGGAGCAACTGATGGAATGTTGTTGATAAGTGCCATTGAGTTGAATATGACAAACAGTGATCCTATAAATAACAGACTTGAACCCTCTTGTGTCCCGTACCATCGTTATCATCCTTCACACACATGAGTCCATTGCTGCAGACACTGTATCAATCCATCTCATTGAGGGTCTTCCTCTCTTTTACTGACCCCCCGCCTTTCTAAGCATGATGTCCCTCTCTAAGGAATAGCCTCTCCTAACAACATGCCCAAAACATTTGAGATGAAGTTTTGCTTATTCGTAGTTTGCTCTTATGAGTACAGTACTTGTTTATCAGTATATTCTTCTAGGGTATCTTGCAGGCTGCTGTGATGCCAAAAACTGTTGTTTTTATTATGCGTGGTCGAGTTGCCTGCAACTCATAGTGACCCTATGACTCCAATACTTCTATTCCTATTGCCCTAGTTTCAGTAGCAATCTATCTTATCCAGGGTCTTCCTCTCCTGTGCTGTCCCTCCACCCTTCTAAGCATGATGTCATTCTCCAAGATCAATCCCTCCTGGCCACTTGCCCAAAGTATGTGAGACAGGGCTTCAAATCTTAGTCTCCAAGAATAAATTTTATTTCACCCTCTCCAAAACAGACCTATTTGTTTTCTTGGTGGTCCATGACTCTTCTCCAGCACCACAACTCAAAGGCATCAATTCTTCTTCTGTTATCCTTAGTCATTGTCCAGCTCTCTGATGTGTTACTGGTATTTTAATACAAGTGGATCAACCATGGTGACAGATTTCAGTGGAGTATCCAGATTAAGACAGAATAAGAAAGATTGGCTATACACTTCTGAAATAACTGACCTTTGAAGATCCTATGAACAATTCAGAGGAAATGATGGACTAAAACTCTAGAAAAGACAAGAAGGAGGTATCAGGAAGATACATCAGTGGACTAACATAAGTGGGAAGAAAGAAGAGGAGGTGAGGAGTCCAATAGAGACATATGTGTCAGTGGAAATGAGAAATTACAGAAAACCTGTGAATTTATCTATGCAATTACTGCAATTCTAAAGATTGGAGGACTAAGGCAAAAGAGAGTAAATTATCTTTCTCAAATTTATATTGTACGTAGTGACAGAATCACAGTACACAGAAACATTCCTACTGTGGCCTCTTTCTGGTCTCATTATTGAAATTTAACTTACATGTTTCCTCTGCTAAAGCATCATGATAATGTGCTTCTCTAGGGAACTTCAGTGGCCAACTTTCCATCAAAGGCAGGCAGTTTGAGTCCATCAGCTACTCTTTGGGAGAAATATGTCCAACCTCCTCCTGTGCCATTTTAGCCTCTGAAAACCCACTGTAGGGTCAGCTATGGATTGGTTCTGACTCAATGGTATATAAGAACAACAATGATTTTCTTTAGGTCCTTTACCATCATATTTCCAGTCTGAGAGTCCTGTTTTATAACAGTGGTGTTATGCAATATTTGTCCTTTTGTGACTGAGATATTTCACTCAGGACTAACATCAGGGTTGGGAGGAAACTAAGAAATTAGGGGATAAATAATGGATTCTTCACTGGAACATATGAAGGAAAGAACTGTTTAAAAGGAATGTATAATTAGGCATTATACATAAGACAACAGCCCAGAATAAGACATTGTTGTTGTTGTTGTTATGTGCCGTTGAGCCGCTTGTGACTCATAGCGACCCTATGTACAACAGCCCTAAACCCTGATCTATTCTGTGCCAATTTCATTGCCTATGACACACCCATCCCAATTACCCCAGTCACTGAATCAGTCCACCTCATAGAGGGTCTTCCCGGACCTCTCCCTCCTTACATGTCCAAAGTATGTCAGAGGAAGCCTCAGAATCCTTGCCTCCAAGGAGCAGCCCGGTTTAACCCTCTCTAGGATGAATCTGTTTGTTTTCTTGGCAGTCCAGGGTGCATTCAATACTCTTCTCCAGCACCACAGCTTAAAGGCATCAATTCTCCTTCTATCCTCCTTAGTCATTGTCCAACTCTCTGATCCATAACAAGTGATTTGCAAAAAGGACAGAGGGGCGGGGGAAAGGGAGGTAATTGTGCAGCAATGAATGAATATTAAGGGGGGAAATGTGAGATGGAGGAGGGTAGAAGGAAGAAGAGCAAGGAACATGCAACAATGAATGACAATCTAACTTTTCTGGAAACTTTCATGAAAATAAAAATTAATAGAGAAAATTTTATTAGGAAAATAATGTTTTTAAAAGGATGAGTCCCTATCAGATAGGTTATCCTCAGGCCAATGATTTACACCTTACTTAGTAGATATGTTAAAAAATTGATTCAGAGTAGAAATTGTGTGAGAGGATAATGTGTCAAGTCATTCCTTTTAACTATTCCTTGGAAAACTCAGATGTAATGAATCTGAATTGTTTGCAGGGCACCCGTTTTCAGTAGCTGTGTTTGAGGATTATGTGTGGTATTCTGATTGGGCTGCGCCATCATTAATAAAGGTGGACAAGAGGACTGGCCAAAACAGGGTGCATCTCCGAGGCAGCATGCTGAAACCCTCATCGCTGGTCGTGGTTCATCCATTGGCAAAACCAGGTACGTAGATGTTACTCTTTCTTAGGCTGCTCTCTGTGACTATTCTATTGTGTGAGGATAGGGTGAAGACAGGGTTTTCAGTGCTCACTTTTCTGAGAAGATGCTAAGATTTCTTAGAAAATGGACTTCATTTCATCTAAGACACTCTGGTAAAGATTATGCTCTTTCATTGTTTAGTGAATCTTGGCGTTATTGCTCCAGTTTCACCTTTCCTTCCCTCTTTATAGTCCCTGAACAGTTTCTTTTCCTGCTGCGTCTGTGAAGCCCATTGGGTTAAAGGCATGAAGGAGAGCAGTTTAGCCACCTTCCAGCTGTCCTCAAGCCTTCCCCACCCACCACCCCACTGAGTGTGCCAGTTAGTGAGCCGTAGCCAAGCGTGGGCACATAGAAAGGCGCCTGTGTCCTACAGCAGCGCATCTGGCTGAATTGCCCTTTGTAGTTCCAACAAGATTATGAGTCAGGGAATAGGATGCACATCTGCCTAAAGAGCTTCTTGTACGAAATAGTATTCTCAATAAGCGCTCATCAGGTAATGACTTTCTGAGCTTATTTTAGAGTCAGTGGCTCCTTATGGGAAATCTTCTGGAAAAACTCTCGTTATGAAATCCATTTCAGTACATCAACTTCCTCTCCCCAGAAGTGGTGTGACTGTGATTTGCATTAATGAAATTTCCAAGCACATCTGTGAATTTGCTTCTCACCCCCCCCCCCACTAAGTGTATATCCCTGCTTACACCAGAATGGAAGCTGTGAACATATTTGCAAAGAGAGGTTTAGAATAGCTTGGTGTTTGTGTTGTGAAGGTTTTAGAAAAGCCTCAGATGGGAAAATGTGTTTGCTTCTGAATGGGTTTCAGATATCAGCAGGTAGTAAGATAAATTTCTGTGACTAAGTGATCTTCTTTGATCAGGAATCTAGTTCTGCATTGTCCTAAAATACTTCTATTGATTTTTATTCAAAATTCTCCTAATTTTAGGGATACTGCAAGTTTTTTTTTTTGTTTTCTTTCTCATGTGTTTTGGGTGTATATTTAAGTCGACTTACCAGCCCCAATGAGATGGATTGACTTGGTGACTTCAACAATGGGCCCAAGTGTGTCAGATAGTGAGGATAGCATAGGATAGGACAGGTTCAGATTTGCTGTTCATAGGGTTGTTATGAGTCATATTGTACTCAACAGCACCTAACAACAACAGATAAGAATTAACAAAGAAAAGATAACATTCTTTAAATTCTAATTTCCCATCCCAATGAGTGTTTACAGTAGAGCAGTGCAGGTTGGAAATAAATGTCAGCATTTCACCATCTTAGAGACATTTTGTATCTGAAGGTATTACTATATACAGTCTTGATACCTTTGATAATGCTGATGGTTAACAGCTAACATGCTAGGAAGCTAATAGAAACACTGGAGGTTCAAAACCTCCCAAAGGTGACTTGAGGGAAAGGCCTCGTAACATCCTTCCAAAAGGTTAGCCACTGAAAATCCTATAGAGTCCAATTCTGAGTTAGTTAGACTCCACTCAGTTATAACTGTTTTGTTTAATGTATACGGCCCTTCTGCTTTTCATGGTTGGTCTTAGTAGTAGAAACAAAGTCTGTTAATACTAGGATATCAAACAAGAATAATAAGGCAATCTGAAGAGGCTTGTGACAATTTTACAAATGAAATCTAGCTTCATGAAAAAGACAGGGAGAGGAAAGCAAATTTGTTGTGTAAACAGTTAATGTGTTACAAATATAAGAAATTACCATTTGTTAAGTTCTGGTATCAAAAGAATATTCATAAAAATTATCTAAAAAGGCTATTAAATGGCTCTCTTTCTTGAAACTGCATGTCTGTATATGTCTGTATGAGGCTAGGTAATCATTTGGATGTGATTATCATAACAATTTCGATTCATCACTTGATATTTTTATATTAAAAAACATACCAATAAGACTTTAAATTTTATTTACATTTCCCCCCAGAAATTAATAATTATCTAGTAGGCATGGCTAAATGATAGACTGACAATAAATGAAAAATCGATCTAACCATAAGTGGATATATTAGATTTTCAGGAATTTTTATTGTTTGTTGCTCTAGAGTAGTGGAGCTCAAACCTTTAGGCATCAGAAATCCTTGACATTCTTAAAAATTATTGAAACCTTTGAAGAGCTAAGCCTACATGAGCTAGATTTACCAATACTTACAGTCTAGGAAATGAAAATGATAAAAATTTTTAGGATAGTGTTACTAAGAAAATCGTTTTATCCTATAGACTTCGTGGACTGGGAATTCTCACACTTAGGGACATTTAAGGGAATCCATTCCCCCCGATAATCCAGAGAATTGCATGGGTTTCTTGCTTATAGTAAATCAACATTTGTTTATGCCCTCTCACATTTTAAATATAGGCTAGAATGAGTCTCAGGGCTAGCCTGAAAGGATTATAGAGGAGACCAGTTAGGGACAATCTTCTCAATAATTTACCGTTCCTAATGATAGACTGGCAGTTCTTTGCTGATGTTACATAACAACAACAACAAAAAAAAAAAACAACAACAACGATAGACTGCCCTTATGAACTAAGTTTACCTTTAAGGACTTTTGATATTTTACTCTTAATATTTATTGCCAGCACCTGAAAGAGTTTTGTTTTTCTTATAAATGGATTTCTTTCCCACTCTCAAATCCAAAGAAGTTATTATACTGTGTTAGCAAGGCTTTCTCAATTACAAAGATTCCCCAAATTTCCTTTAAATTCTTCTCAAATCCTTGAATCCTTGGTTGTGAGGATGAACTTACAACCCACAAGCAAGCAGGACTATAAACTAAATATTACTTACCTTGAATCTGAAAAAAGAAAATCATTGCATCTGTTGACCTTCAACAGGTAAGGAAGCTGATCTAAGTAATCAAGTAACACCACTGGATGTCCTGCCCAGGAGTAAAGCCTTTGGAGACAGCGTTACAGAAGGATTGCAATCTCAACACACGCTGGTTGCTGAAATCATGGTGTCAGGTACGAACAATGAGTTCTACAGTTTTGGACCCAACAATTTTCATTCTATCATCTAGAAGTTCTGAACTAACTTACCGTTGGCTAAATTTACTCAAGAGTAATAAAAATTATTCTTTTGTGGGTTTTTTTGGTTCATAATTCTTTGTGATTTTAATGAACGTTTACAGAAAAATTGGATTTTCATTCATTCATTATCACATCTTTCTTTCCCTCCCTCTTTCCTTTTCCCCTTCCCCATTTCTTTTTCTTCTTTTTTATATGGAACGCTTCACGAATTTGCGTGTCATCCTTGCGCAGGGGCCATGCTAATCTTCTCTGTATCGTTCCAATTTTAGTATATGTGCTGCCGAAGCGAGCACTCCCCATTTCACTTTATTTCTTTTTCTTTTCTTTTTTTTTTTTTAGTATTCATTCATTGTTGATCAAGGAGCACCCTGACTGCATTTCCCCCCAAGTAATATCTATTTATTCTTTTGGCTGTCAATGGAATATTCAGTACTCTTCTCTTGTACCACAACTTAAAGGCATCAATCTTCCTCTGTCATCCTTATTCACTGTCCAGCTCTCTGATACATAGCAGATAATTGAGGAGACCTGAATCAGGCACACCTTAGTCTTCAAATTGATATCTTTGTTCTTCAGGATCCTGTCATGTCTTTTGCCCATTTTTAATTGGGCTATCAGACTTTTTCTTGTGGAGGCCCAGAAGTATTCTATAAACTTTCATTATGATACTCTTGTCTGAGATGATGTTTCCAAATGTTTGTTCCCAGTCAGTAGGTTTTCTTTCCATCCTGTTGGGAAAAGCATTTGATGAACACATTGATTTAGAAAGTCCCATTCATCAAGTTTATCCTCTTCAGATTGTACATTTCTGGATATATTTGGCAGTCTCTATGTACAGTGTACTAGAGCCTCTAAACTTGATCCCATTTTGTCTCTTATGAACTTTATGGTTTGGGGCTTTACTCCCAAGTCTCTTATCTACCTTGAGGTGATTTTTGTGTATGGTGTGAGATGGGGATCCTGTTTCAAAAGACATGGAAAGAATTTTCACAGAGGAAGATATTCAGATGACCAACAGATGTATGAAGAAGTGTTCCAAATCACTGGCAATAAGAGACATGCAAATCAAAACCATGATGAGATATCATCTCATTCCAGTAGCAGTGACAAAGTTTAACAGTACAGCAAGTAATAAATATTGGAGAGGATGTGGTGAGATGGACACTCTTTTACATCCTTGGTGGGATTGTACAATGGTAGAACCATTCTGGAAGGCAGTTTGGCACTTCCTCAAAAAGTTGAACATAAAAATTCTAGATGGCCCAGCTATTCCGGAATATACCCTAAGAAAAGGAGAACTGAGGTTCAAGCAGAAACTTGTACACCAATATTCACAGCAGCGTTATTCACCATCACAAGAACATGGAAATAGCCCAGATGTCCAAACAAATGGATTGAGAAGTTGTGGTACAATGGAATACTATGCAGTACATAGGAGCAATGATTTTGTAAATTACTACCTAATTTGGGAGGGACTAGAAAGCATTATGCTGAGTTTACTAATTCAGTCCCACAAGGATAAATACTGCATAAAACCATTATTATAGAACAAGTATGTGGATCCAAGAGGGAGGGGGTGAAGGAAAGATAGGGGTGGGCGTAAGGTGTTAATCATAGGGTTGCACAATTCAAAGGTGGGGTGAAGGAAATGGGAAATATCTTTTGTGGAAAAAAATGTGTTCAAACTTTGTAAATAAATCAGAGTAATAAAAAAATAGAAAATATTGTGCCAAAGCATCTCTCAGTATTGCAATTCAAGACTTAATTGTTTTTCAGTTCTTTCAGCTTGAGAAATACCGAGTAGTTAGGCCCTCTGTTACAAACCAAAGGTCAGCAATTTTAATTCAGTAGCTGCTCCATGAGAGATAGATGAGGCCATTTTTCTCCCATGAAGATTAGACTTTCAAAAACCTTAAAAGGTTATTATACTCTGTCCTCTAGTGCTTACATGTGTCAGAATCAATTCAACAGTGATATGTAAGATACTAAATTCTAGAGATAACTGTGATGAGTTAAATATAGCTCTAGTCCCCTGGGTTCCAGTCTGATGTGGATCCAATATGACAGAATGAAACACTGTCTGTTAATATTAGCATTATAGAAAAACTTTGCAAAGCCACCAGGGAACACAAAAGTTCATAGAGCCTATTTTGAAAGGCAAATGTTTGGGAAAATTAAAGACCAACATAAATGACAGGTTGTAAATTAAATAAATGATAGAGTAGGGGGGTGAAGAAATGACTACAGTTGTTGAATACATGGATAATGGACTGCATTTAGCTCCATTCTTGGCCAAGTACAAAGTAGATGGAACTGATTGCTTTGAGTAAAAAAAATAACTTGTCTTTCATGTGCAGATTGTGTTCTAGTTTGTCCTAGTAAGTTTAGCCTAATGGCTCTTATTTATGTTTCTAAGTAAGATTTCATTCAATTCCATATTCAGATTTTATTCTTTTTTTGCATCATTGCCACTTTTATTTTTTCACTTTATTTTTTTAGTAGAAGTCTAAAAGTCATATTGGGTTTTCATTCAGTCATTCATACACTTTCTATTTTATAACTAAATATAATTTATTAGTGTACTTAATCAGTTACAATGTCTGATCAACACCTTATTGTCTATATTGCCTTCCTTTCCCTTCATCCAACTTATCTATTTCTTTCTTTTTTAATTGAGATTTTAATGAAGATTTATAGAAAACATGGATTTCCATTCATTCAATGTTGCACATTTTCCTCCCTGTCCACCCCTTCCCCCCCCACCGTTCACTTTTCTCTTGAAAAAAAAAATTCTTTTATTGTTATACACCTCCCAGCACCCCGAGTCCACTTTACTATGTAGCTCTTATTCTGGACTGTTGTCATGCAAACAATACCTAATCATATATTTCTTTAAGCAGTTCTTTCCCTCATCTGTTTTAATGCAGTGCACATAATTTATCCCCTCTTTTCTTAGTTTCCCCCAACTCCAATCTCAGTCCTGTTTTGTAATAGTGGCATTGTTCAGTATATGTCCTTTTGTGACCAAGGTATTTCACTCAGCATAATGTCCTCCAGGGTCACCTATTTGGTATAATATTTCATGAGTTCCTCATTTTTCAATGCTGCATGTTACTCCATTGTGTGAATATACCACAGCTTCTCTATCCATTCATTTGTCGATGGGCACTTGGGTTGTTTCCATCTTTTTGGTATTGTGAACAATGCAGCAATAAATATGGGTGTGCATATATCTGCTTTGGAGGTAGTTCTGGTTTTTTAGGGTATATTCTCAGTAGTAGAATTGCTGGTTAAATGGTATTTCTATTTCCAACTTTTTGAGAATGTGCCATATTGCCTTCCAGAGTGGCTGCATCATTTTATACTCCCACCA